TTTTGTTGTTGTTGTAACTAATTATTGTTTAAATGTTTGAATATATAAATTATATAGTGAACTATATCACAAGTTAGATATCACTGAAATAAATAGTGAACTATTTCACATAAATAGTGAACTATTTCTCTATTTAAATAAAAATAGTGACTTTTATTTTAATATAATTAACTACTTATTTGATATAATAAATTATAAGTTTCATATATTGTAAATGCATAATAATAAAATATTTGTGAATATATTTAACTATATATAGAATAATGAACTTTTGTGGATATAACAAATATAGTTGATTGTTTGTGAATAAAGTTAACTATATAGACAACTATATGTTTATATATAGTACATAGCTAACTATATGTTAATATATTTATATTTCTGACTATATATATAATAGTGAACAATTCGTGAATATAACTAGTATAGTTGACTATTTGTGAACATAATTAACTCTATAAATAATTATATGTGGGTATATAGTTAACTACACATATATGTATATAAGTAATTATATTTAAAAATAGTTAGTTATATATCTAACTATATACTCATTTACACACACAAAAAAAGACGTAGATAATAGTGAACTGTTTATAAATAGAAAAAGCAGGAACCTTTGTACAAGATACAGATAGAAAAACAATGCACAACACAGAGCAGTTCCAATAAAAACACTCAGTCCTTATTGCTATCCCTGCAGGGCACAACTGATGCACGACACAACTGTTTCAACATGAAGTTTACACAAACACTTCTATAGAACAGATTCTTAATATAATTCTACCCAGACTTACGCGACATCACACACACCGTGATTCGTTCCTGAACGTGTTCCTAATCTACCCAAGAATGCAACATAACAAACAGTCACGAAGCCGTAGCACCTGCTACATACAGCACCTGCTGCTACAGATAGATTACAAGATACTTCTATAGAATAGATTCAGAAATCCTATCCTACCCAGAGTTACGCGACATCACACACACGTGATTCGCTCCTGAATATATCCCTAATCTACCCAACACTGCAACGTAACAAACAGTCACGAAGCCTCTTCTTTTCTCTCAACACAACAGAACCTTTTTGCTCTGTTTCCGAGATCTCAAAGAGCTATTCACTACAAGAAAACACAGTTTTAGCGTCAAATTTTAGCATCGATTTTAAGTCGACGCAAATATAGCGTCGAATTTGCATCGTCATTGTGTCGCTATCAAATTTCGACGCAAAACCGACGCTAATTTGGGATGAAAAAAATCGACACTAAATAGCGTCGGTTTTGCGTCGATTTCTCGGCGACGGTCTCAGTTCGACGCAAAACCGACGCTAATTTGGGACGAAAAAAATCGACGCTAAATCGATGCTATATAGCTTCGATTTAACGTCGATTTGTCGGCGACGGTCTCAGTTCGACGCTAAATCGATGCAATATTAGCATCAAATTAGCGTCGACCCACTAGCATCGAATATAGCGTCGGATATTATTAGCAT